TCTAAAATTCCTTAGCATGAAATGTTCATCATAATGAAAATCATACTTTCTCTTCATCAAATGAAACTTTGTTTACCTGGAGAAATATAGATGGACAGAGAAGCAGATGCAACCTGGGGACAGCGGTATTCATCATCTTTCTGTCCTGTTCAGGAGGAACCTCCAGATGTGAAGCCTAACTGGCTTGTGTAGTTTAAGGCCTGGCCCAATGCTGGGAGATGGACCCTGCCCTTAGATCTTTCCTAGTCAATGCAAGGTGCTTCTGTGGCCACAGTTGATGCTTGGGTCCATTTGTGTTCAGTGGCTCCTTCTGCCCATCCTGGGAAAAACTGGGAAACTGAAAGGAAGAACCAGAGGCTTTCTTAAGTCATTTAATCTAGAAATGATTTGCTTGGGCCAAACTCTAGCAAGGTGTAAGTCTATACACATAAGATTCAGCCAGATGTGGTTGAGGCTTCAGAGCCTTCATAGCCATGTGGCTATTGCTGCTGTATTAGGTGATAGAGACTATGGAACATTTTCGTCATCACAATACATTCTATTGGATTGTACTGTTTTAGAACAGGGGTTGAAAATAGGTTCATCTCCTTTGTCACTTCTGGTTGATCGGCATTGGCTGTCTGGAGGACTATGTAAAGAAGATTCTGAGGCCATATCTAAGTGAGCCCCAAATTGTTTGATGATTTACTAGCAATGTATGTCCCAGGAAGGCTGAGCTGGGTGGGTGGGGGTAGTTGTGGCATAGGTGCTGGGTGTCTTCTAGATAAAACCACTGAAGTAAGAATAGAATATTTAAAATAGAGGGTCAGTTGTTATTGTTTAAAGAGACAGGTTATATTTTTAGCAGGAATCCTTTGGAAAGAAAGATGAGAAGCTTTAAAAGTTTTGTTATTCTTTATATAATCTCTCATTTAAGTAGTGGTCCCTTTTGCTATTTTCAAAATAAGTTAACAATGATGCTTTGCTTTTGTGTAGAAGGAAATCACAATTGCCACCATTTTTTGGTTTATCCATGAAATAAGGAATTGATGTTACATGTAAAAACAAAACCCACCAGGGCGCCTGGGGGGCTCAGTTGGTTAAGCGTCTGCGTTCGGCTCAGGTCATGATCCCAGGGTCCTGGGATCGAGTCCCACGTCAGGCTCCATGCTTAGCGGGGAGTCTGCTTCTCCCTCTCCCTCTGCCTGCTGCTCCCCCTGCTTGTGCTGTCTCTATCTCTCTGTCAAATAAATAAATAAAATCTTAAAAAAAAAAAAAACCGCCAGGAATCTAAAATTAGTTTCATGTTCATGCCACCTTTTACTATACCTGCTAAGAAACAGAACTGATTGAGGATGGGTTTTGGTTTTTTTTTCCACTTCTTTAATATGCTCTGGTGAAGGATATTAACAACACGCATGTTGTTAACAAATGGGGAATAAAATTTAAGGCAAAAAAAGGAAAAGCTGGTGTAGTTTGGTATAATCAATTCCTGTATAATCACTGTTGTCAGAATTTGAGGTATCTAATTATATTTTCAAAAATCTCTAATAATTAAGGATAATTAAGCATAACTGGGACTGTTTCTTACTAGTTTTAAAACTAGAAAATAGATTTTCTTTCTTTTTAAAGATTTTATATATTTGTCAGGGAAAGAGAAAGAGAGAGAAAGCACAAGCAGGGGGAGCAGCAGGTAGAGGGAGAAGCAGGCTCCCCACTGAGCAGGGAGCCTGATGCAGGGCTCAATCCCAGGACCCTGGGATCATGACCTGAGCCGAAGGCAGACACTTAACCAACTGAGCCACCCAGGCGTCCCTAGAAAATGGATTTTAAAACAAGAGTACCAATTCTGCCACTGTTATGTAACCTTGAGCAAATTAACTACTATAAACTCTCTGAGCCTTAGTTTCTCCATCTCTGAAAGGGAGTATAACAGTATCTGCTTCCATGAGTAATGGGTAAGGAGTGAGATATAAAACTCACTTATAAGTGCTTGACATTACTACTGCAAGACCTCAAATATTAAACCATGTTATTTGGGAAAAGTATACCACATGCACTTGGAGGAGAACATTCCCTGTTCTCATCTTGGCCCTGCACTTAGTGGGTATTTTTAGTGCAATTGTGATTTTTGTGCAATTGCTTACCCTTAGAGTTATCTAATTTTAGTTTCATCTTTTGTAAAATGGGGGTAACAGTAGAACCTGCTTCAGAGGGCTTGCTCAGGATTACACGAGATAATACACATCAAGACAACGCAAGGACATCTGATACATGGCACACGGTGAACATTCAGTAACTTAGCTATTGTGATGAAAATGATGATGTTTAAATTAAGGGTGGCCTTGCCAAAAGAGAGAAGATTCAACAAATCTGATATTTCTTCTCCTTCCCATTCACTAATCTCTAAACTCTACAGTTTATACTAAACATGGTAAAGTGTGTACATTTTGTTTATTTTATTGCTGTTCCACTATAAATTATTAATAAGCCTCTTTTATTAGGGTTTTGGCACACTGACAGAGGCAGTAATTGGAGAAGCTGTTAGTTATGGTAAAGACCTTTCTTACTCTGTAGTGTTTTTATAAGCTGCAAGCTCATGTCTAATTTGAAAGGCCTGATGTTTACGGCCAGGGAGCAGGGCAAGCAGGACGAAGGCTCAGTGTGGGGTAGGAGTGCATTCAGTCCTACAGGGAGCAGTTTGACTGTCTGACAACCTGACCTCTGTTGCCCCCGAGGTGCAGGAAGAAGGCAAGGCTCTTCAAAGACTCCAGGGACCAGAGCATACTACCATAACCTGCTCCGGTATCTTCCCTCCCCACCCTTTCTTTAGTCCCTGTGTGTCTTCTCCCCCTGATAGCAGCAGAAGGGGGTCAGAAATGATAAGCCAAGGTTAGCTTCTGAGGCTTCTTCTAAAGACAGGCCCACAGTGGAGGGCGCAGCCTGAGTGTGCTGGACCCCAGCCTCCACAAGCACCAGGAATCACTCCTGACCTATGGAAAACGCTTTCTTCCCCAGAAAAATATTTGAGTCCTTTGGTGTGAAGACCTAGTCCTGGGCTGTTTTCACGTACTGGGTTCTCTAATTAGGGATGAGGCGCTGTATGGTTGCCAAAAATGATTTATGTTTCTTTCAGAATGTTCAGATGAGGGGCACCTGGGTGGCTCAGTCGGTTAAGCATCTGCCTTCAGCTCAGGTCATGATCCTGCAGTCCTGGGATCAAGGCCTGGCATCAGGCTCCCTGCTCAGCGGGGTGGGGGGGCGGCTGCTTCTCCCTCTGCCCCTCCCCCAACCCACCCCCACCTCGCTCATGCTTGCTCTCTCACTCTCGCAAATAAATAAATAAATAAATAAAATAAATAAACTTTTAAAAAAAAAAAGAATTTTCGAATGAAAAAAACACGACAGCCCTCCAGAATTCTTCTATTTATAAATGTCAAAATTACTAGGTTCTTTGGACATTTTTCTAGGAGAACACTTTTCCTGGAACGTCCATCTCCTATGCCACTTGGCTCTGGCGTCTCACACCCAACACCCTGCATTCGGCCCTGTGCCCTCCCTCTTTTCAGCAATCTCTCCCTGTGCAACTGATTTTGAAATGTTTTTCCAAACATCCTTTCTTTTCTGACTTCATTCTCATCTCACAGGTTTTAAGCTCACCTCACATCTGTATTTCTCATGATAACTTACATTTTCTCTTTTGGATTATAAAATTAATCCATGCCCTTCACGAGTATATATCTGTGTGTACGTGTGTTGAAGGAAACTCGGATCTGCTTTCTGTAGTTTCAGAGTATGGTTTTTTTTCTTTTTTCTTGAGATATCAGCATGGCTCTATATCATTAAGAATTCTTTGAAAAATTGTAGTGGACACATAATACTCCCTCATATGGACAGAGCAAAATTTACTTAACAACACTGCTAGCCATTTTGGTCTTCCCATTTTCCAATATTAAAATCAATGCTTGTTTTCAAAATCTGTTCACAGTATAGTGTTATGGGTAAGAAGATGGGCTTTGGAGTTCCAAAGACCATGGTCCAGATTCTAGTTTGGCCATTTGTTCCTAGGCCTCAGTTTCCTTCTTTGTAAATGGGGATTATAATGGTATCTACCAACAGAATTATGACAGTTTAAAATAGGATGTATATAATGTACTCATTTACACAGAGCTTCAGACATTGTAAGTTCTGCTAAATAGTAACTGCAATTATAATAGTCACCATCGTTAATCATGGGCAATTAGTTTTTAGCACAGTTGCTAGAAGTTAGACGGTAGTACAAATACTTTGATACCTTTAATAACATATTGCCAAATTCTGGAAAGATTCTACCAATTTATAGTCACATAAATAGTATTAAGTACATACCCTTGCCATTATTAGGTAGTATATTTTTTATTATTGTTTATCCATGTATACACAAAAATGTTACCGTGTAATTTACATTTCTTTGCTAGTGGAAATGACTAGTTTTAAATATTTAGTTGACTAATTATATTCCTTTTTTGTAAATTGTTTATTAGGGTCAGTGCCCATTTTTCTTTTGCCTGTGCATCTTTTTTCTAAATCAATGAGTTCTTTTTATGTCATAAGAATCATTCTTCTTATGTATAACTAAAATGTATTGTGCATTTAGAAGTTGCAGATGAGGAAACAGGGCCAGAGAGGCTAAGTAGTTTGCCTAGTGTTTCAGACCTTTGCCTGGCACAGAGTAAATACGCAGTAAACTCTTGCTGTTTTTGTTACTAATCTTTGTATTTCATAGCACCTGGAACAGTCCAGCACTTTGCACACGGTAGGGGCAGAATACATACATGGTAACTTCTGTTGACACCAGCCACCCTCACTTCTCTTTGGTGTGCACAGAAGCCAGCCTTTAATGGGTGCCTTGGTCACAGCCACTGTTTTAGCTCAGATGAATCGGCATCTCCTGAACTTGACTTGATTTTCTCCATCTGTTTTTAATGATACTTTCCGAAAACGCTGTAAAATCAGGTTATTTCCCCTCACTTCATTTCTAGGTAACAAACCTGAATTTGGCAAGTGGCGTCATAAACAGAAGCAGTGCTTCAACCCCCCCCACCCTTCGGCCTGTCATCAGTCCTAGTGGCCCGACATGGTCAATACAGTCAGACCCCCAAGCTCCTGAGAGCCACTCTACCCCTCCTGGAAGCAGGTATGTGAAGGGTTGTGGAGTCATCGTTTTGGGTCACAAAGAGCCTGGGTCCGAAGAGAGTCTTTCCCACCTTGAACTCCCTGCACTGACGCCTGGGAGACAGGTACCTTTCTGCCTGTCCTAGTACTCTGGCACTTGAATAAAGGGCCTCGTTTTACTCATAAGACAGTTTGCGGGCAAATCAAAGGCAAAGGAAATTTCTGATACAGTTCAGTCAGCTCACTTTGGGGTGTGATGTGTTCAGTCCTTGCCTGTAGTCCACATTTTCTTGTTTTGACTTTTGACATTTTCTCCTTGTCTCCTCATTCTTGTTTATACCTTGTACTACATTTGCATTTCAATAACTTTGGACTCCTTTTTTTTTTTTTTGAAGGACATATTTGTTTTTTATGTTTTCATCTAGGTTATATAATTAAACTCAAAACAGTCTCCCTGGACAATGCTCATTTGGGAAGTGGGAAGGAAATGTCCTTTATGTAGTTGAGCAAAGTGCAGAGGATAAAATCCAAGTAGATTCTGGCCATAAAGTAAGCAACTTCTGAATTAGAAAAGAAGCCACTGTATTGAATTCTAGTCTTGATCCATATTTTAAATCCCCTATTAAAAAAAAATGTAAGAAATGGATTCCCAGTACATCTTGCATTAGTGGCTATTCAGAATGGGTTTAATTGCATCTGTCCCTGAGTGAAGTGAGCTAGAGAGGAATGTGACTGTTACGATGAAGTATTCTGTTCCCTCCGAATAAAGAAGCTCTGCCACAGATGTCCCTCCAAGTCCCCACCCCCGCGCCAGCTCTGTCAGCCTCTGCCAGCCGGCCACCTCTTAGCATGCTGCCTTGCCTCGTGGTTGTGAGGGGCGGCCAAAGACCTGGGCATGAAGGAAATACCTGTATGCTGTTGAAGTATCTGTTGGTGTTAGAATTATTACTGAAGGAACTAATTTGGGAAGCAGAGACTCTGCCCAGGAAGCAACATAAACATAAGCACATTACATCATGCTTGAGTACAGTGTCTTTCATACCAGTAATCGTTGTGGTCAAGGGTGAAAAGAATCAACTGAGAGTTACAAAGAGTTGAAGACCGAGAGGCAGGACTGTTTCAGACGGGACATCCTCCCACGAAGTTCTCTTCGCAGAAGGCTGTCGTTTGGTGATTTACAGTCTACAGAATAACCACATTCCTAAAACATAAGTCGTAAAAAAGAATTCTGTTTATACCATAGAGCTTTATTTTCCATATAAAATATTTCCAAATATTCCATTTTCATGTTACAATCAGAGCCTTGTTTCTATGGAAAACATGTTCCCTGCAGTCTTGGGATATTATCTGCCTATATGACAAGGCTGTAGCCATTTTCCATACTATAAACAAAATGTCAAAACTCCACATCATGACTGGGTTTAGAGCCTTCTTTTGGTAGCACCTGTTTGGCAGTGCTGAAACCCAGAAAGTTGTGGGGATCCATCCAGGGCAGAGCCCAGACCTAGAGTCCCGCACTGTGAATGGCCTTCTCCTAGCCAGACTGTGCTTATGAGTGGCAGGAAAATAGCATATTACACCACTGACTTCAGAGCCCCTAGCACCAGAAAGTGGCCCCTGCAGAGTCCCTGGGCCTTTCCCCTTTTGAGTTAATTGTACCCAAAACAGCCCTCTCGTCACCTGCTCTTCAAGCCGAAGGGCCAGGTGTAAGGTCCCATTTCAGTCTAGGGTAGCCCCGAAAACCTTCCTCTGAGCCCGGGTAACCTCTGGTTGCCAGAACAGCCTAGAGGCTCAGCTTGTGGAATTCCCAGAGGTGTCCGCCCCAAAGGAGTGCTAAGTGAATTCTCCGGGGTCCCTCCAGAGCTGGCTGTGACCTGGGCCACAGCCAGACCTCCAGCAGGCATTCTACCCAGTACCATACCCCAATTTCCATTTTTACCTGGTAAGTCACTGTTTTGTGGATAGTCTCTTGTTGCCCCTCTCTTAGTAGTAAGGGTGACTAAGTTCAATGAATATGGGATTAATAGCTTAGCGATCTGAGTTTTATGACTGGTTTTTGACACTAAGTGACCCTAAACCATTCATTTAATCTTTTTATTGGGTAAGCATACTTAACGTATAAACCGGCCTGTTTTGAGAGCTTTTAGATTGCCCTTAAGGCACTTTGATCTCCCTGGAAGTGGGTGCTAAGTAAATAAGAGGTACTCTTACTAGTTCATCTACAATAGCAACAGTGGATTCCAGTGCCAATAAGCTCTGATAATTCCCTAAACCAGGGGCTGTCCTGTAAACAGTAACAAGACATAAAGAGAATCCTTTGCTGGCTGTGCTTTTCATCTGCATATTGGAGGATTCAGTGACTTGGTAGCCACAGGAATGAAAACTGGTGACTCACGAGAACTCTGCAAATAGTGTTATTTTTCATTTCTCTGTGGTGTTGCTATTGTTCTCAATTTTATGGATCACACAAGTTTTCACCAGACAACCTTGTTCTTCCCCCGCAGTTTTGAAGCCCCCCCCCACCCCAACGCAGCCTCAGGGCTGTTGTCTCCCATTGGGCCAGTGTGAGCTCAGCCCAGCTCCTCAAATCCCTTGGTTCCTCTGGTCTGTCTGGAGTCCCTGTTCAAGCTTTGTTGTGGGAGAGGAAGGCAAAGAGCCCACGACTTGCCCAGACAGTCTGAGGCCTGGCCCTGTAGCTTGCCGTTCCCTAGACGCTCTGGAGCTGGACTTGGCCAGCCATTCCTCTGTTGTTACTTTTCAGAGGTAATAAGTGAGATTAATTGCAGGCCATTCTCCAGAAGAGAAAGTAGTCAGGGCCAAAATCAGTCACATGTTGAGAAGCCTGAGGTGTACCTCCAAGCGAGGCCGATTTAGAATTATACAATAGGGCCTCCAGGATGCAGGTACCACGTGTTTGTGACCTCTTTTTTTCTTAAAGGGATCAATTTCGCTTTCTAGATGTGGATACCTGGGTATCTAAGCTTTTCTTCAGCCAATGAGATGAGTAGGATTTTTCAGGCTGCCTTTTAGCTATACATTTTCTGGGCCCATGGGGTGTTGTTAGGGGCTGGAAGCCATAAGCAGAGGCATCTCCCCAGTACGGCCAGCCTTGCATGGGGTTGGACCACGTCAGGGAGGGGTATTTTCTAGGTGAGGAGCGCTCAGCGGGCTCACAGTGCATCTTTCTTTGTGAGACCTGGAAGGGTTACTGTAAAGTCTTGGCTGCTGCTTGGAAGGATTTGGGAAGGACAGGGCCTCAGACGGCTTGGCAAGAACCTGAGGCCCTGTTTTTTTCCAGTCCAACCCTTCCTTGTGGATCGAGCTGTCAGGGAATCCCACGAATGTCTGGCTTCTGCCCCTTTGTATGTTTTTCCAGCATTTGTCATTGAATTATTTTTATCCATCTCTGGCTTTTTCACACATGCAACCTGGGGATTTGTCTGTTCCTCGATATTAAAGGTGGGGGAGCTTGAAAGCAAAGCCATGAGTTTGTTCCTCCTTTTTGTGACAGGGCAAGACATCATGGGCTTGGGGTGCTCGGCCTGTCTGGCCCCCACTCTAGAGAACAGCATGGGGGAATGGGGTACAGTGAAGCGCCAAATCTTAGAAATTGGGGTATATTTCATGTCACTCTCTCCCTCTGCCCTTTCATTCTCCAGAACTAAATTATAATGAGTCTGATACCCTATTTTACATAATTTATAGGAACAAGTTTTTCAGAGATTTTGATTCTAGTTTAGCTAATACTTTTCTCCCTTCCTTTAGATTATTTCTTACAAATGTTGCTGGAGAGTCAGGTCTCTGACTTCCCATCTTTTCATTTTTAATCCTCAGAAAATACTGAGTTTGTTGTTTTAAAAAAACAAAAATACATCCTATTCATTGTCCATGTGTCAGGCATTTGGTTAGGCCCTGGGGAGTCATGATAAATAAAACAGGACTGTGCCTGATCTCACAGAGCTTACGGTCCGTGATCTATCTGTCATGTTCTCAGCATAGTCCTGGGTGCTGGGTATGGTCTAAAAGATTTGGAAGACCCAGTTTTTGATCACTCAGAGGTGACAGTCTAGCAGAGAAAAGGAGCTATATACACATGAAACAGTTACAGAATAGTGTCAAGGGGCATACAGCAAAGATTTCAATCTGACGGCACAGGCAGTTAGAAGAAAAGATATCGAGAAGAGTGTGTAAGGATTTAATTCTGTCACCTGCTACAACATAGGTGAACCTGGAGGACATTATGATAAGTGAAATAAGCTGGTCACAAAAGGACAAATACTGTATCATTCCTTTCATACAAAGTGTCTAATGTTGTCCAGATCATAGAAACAGAAAGTAGAAAGGTGGTTGCCAGGGGCTGCGGGGCGAGGGAAGAGGGAATTAACATTTAATAGCTACAGAGTTTCAGTTTTGCAAGATGAAAAAGTTCTAGAGCTCTGTTGTACAACAGTGTGAATGTACTTTACTGAACTGTACACACAGAAATGGTTAGATGGTGTTTTTAAACTTAGGTGTTTTTTACTACATTAAAAAGGGGTATTGTAAGGGCTTGAAAGAGAGTCCCATAGTTCCACAGAAATTATATTTAGTGACTAAAATGGCAAAGTTTTGCTCCTATCCTCTGCCCCTCTGTAGGGGGATTAGCCTCAGCCTAGTCCTTGAAATGCTTCTGTTTCTTTAAGAGTATGTTAACTTTATAGGAAAGGGGGCCGTTGACCCCTATGAGGAAGATGGCACCATGTAATAGAAGGAGAAGGAACTGTTGAGTTGGACAGACCTGGATGTGCCTGCCTTAAGTGTGTGACCTCGGGCGAGTTACATTGCTTCTCTGGGCCACAATTTTCCCATCTGCTTAGATACGCAAATAATACCTACCTCATTAAGTTGTTATAAGATTTAATTGAGTAGTGTATATGAAAGGAGCCAGGTTAGTGCCTGGTTTTGGTGTAGATTGTTGATAACATTTCATTTCCTTCCCCGGAAGAAAAAAAGTTGAAATTGGACTTGCCTGGGATATGGTGT